CTAGAAACTTTTGCCAAATAGTTCATGGTACATGTATGAAGATTATAATTGTAGAAGCATCCCTTTCAACTAAAGCAGATCCTTTTTTGTATATTGTGATTCAAACCCCAGATCTGGCCTTAATATGTATGTTACTTAGAAGCTAGGTCACTAGAAGCAATGTCTGCTCGTGTGATTTTTTTGTGCATCTCAACAAACACTGAGAGATTCAGGAAAGCTTTGTCCCACAGACACATTCTGTTGACAGAGGACTAGAGGACTTACGTGGCACCAATATTAGAAGGATTAGTATCCCTTTGCTTTAAGCCCTAATTTTTCAGTTAAGTGATTTGTAAAGTCTATTATTTGTCCTATTCAAGTTTGCATATAGCAAGGGCTGTGAATACTAACTTGCTGACTCTTAGTGGAAGACTTTATTTTTACAAAAAGTCAAAATTGTTTGGATTATTTTTAATGTGGAATTTGTGCCTTTTTAAAAAAAAAAAAGACTTTTCCAGCATCACAACCTCTAACACCAAGCAGCATGGAGGAACGGATTGCAGAATTGAACCGGCAGAGTATGGAGGCTCGTGGAAAACTCTTGCAGTTAATAGAGCAGCAGAAACTTGTTGGCTTGAATCCTTCGTCTCCACCAGTGTCACCTATTCAGTCACCTCTCAGAGCTTGGACTGGCTGGTCACAGATTCATGATTTGAAAGGTAGGCAGTTTAAAAACTAGAAAGTTTTCACTTTCCTGATTTTGCCAGTATACGTTGAGCTGAAAGAAATCTCAGAGAGTATATATTTCAGTGCTTTCAATTTTACACAGAAAGAATAAGTGACGGAGATAGGACTAGACGGCCAGTCTCCTCTTAGGAAGCAATCCCATGGCACCTGCAGGAATCTACAGCATCTGTGTTCCTAAGTCACCCTACATGCAAATGGGACGCATTACTGTGTATGATTCACTTAGGACATATGCTGCGACTAATTATAAAATATAAACATCAAAATGATAAGTCAGAATTTCATCAGCAAATTACAAGTTATTATTCTGTTAAAATCATTAAAACATTTTTATTTGTAAATTAAACTTTCTATTCTGTTACATTTTGGACTGTGAAAAGATAGAGGGGATTCTAAATAATAGAAGAGTAACCGTTATCGTAGTATTGACATTCAAAAAGGTACTGATGACACACAAAGCCTTTTGTTAGTAGATACTTAGTAAATATTGGTTGATTGATGACCCATTTCTGAAATATTGAAAATGTACATAGTTCTACTTACCATGGGCCGTGTGAGCTCTTCAGCAACTCTCCCCTCCTATTTAATGTCTTCAGTAGCAGTAATCACGTCGTATATCAGGGAGATTTAAAGTTTTACTGAATGACTTCAGAAATTTTCTTTCTTTTTGCTTTTCTTGAGGGGAAAACTTGACATAAGCTGCTTTTTACAAAAATCTCAAGTTCTTTAGGGCTGGCTCTGACATGATACCACTTGCGTGAAGATTGTGGCTCTCTGAGCTGGCGTGCTACTGAACTGACACTAGTAACTAAAGGTTCTTGTCCCACAGTTCACTTTAAAAATAAATCCTTCATGGAGATAGTCTCAGAGACACAGAGGAAAAACTGAGGGTTGCTAGTCGGGAGGGGGTGGGGATGAAGGAGAAGGGGAAGGGATGAGACAATACAAATGGGTAATTATAATATGGCCGCAGGGATAGAAAAAGACAGT